ACATTTTTAAACACGGAAACAATAGCTTTCTTAATTATCTTTCAGAGCAACGGGTCCAAATATTTCAAGCAGGGAGTATTGAAATTAAGTACCTTTGATTTTGCACCTGCTAACTCCACTCACAGATATGGAGGTGAACATTATATTGGCCTAGTGCACCTGGCTTATGCATATAATAATGCAGCCTTAATCCCTCTCTCAATCCATTAGTCACAGAATCATAAAGCTGGTGAGTGCCTGGAAATCTAGAGTGACAACTTCGCCAACAGATGACTGCCCAGCCTTTACTTGAAGACCTCCAGTGCGGTCAAACCCACCTTAGTTCTGTTGTCAAACTGCTCTTACCATCAAAACATTTGTCCTAATGTTCAGCTGAAATCTACTCACCTGTAACTTAAGCCCATTAGGTCTACCTCTGTTCTCTAAGGAAGCAGAGAACAAGTCTCCTATTTCTATGTGGAAGCCTTTCAGGTATTGAAAGAGCCATATCAACGTTTCCTCTCAGTCTTCCCTTCTTCAGACTATGCATACACAGTTAATCTATTCCTCATTTTCCACACTGCTGATCATTTTGTTGCCCTTCTCAACCTTTTTCAGTATGTCCATGTTCTTCTTAAAGTGCAGCACCCCAAAATGGACACAGCACTCAGGATAAAGTCTGACTGCGACTCATGCAGAATAAAGTAGAACTATTACTTTCCATGGCTTGGAAATTATGGTTCTGTTAACACTGTACTGCTAATAATAATAATAATAATAATAATAATAATAATAATAATAATAATAATAATAAATTATTTATACCCCGCCCATCTGGCTGGGCTTCCCCAGCCACTCTGGGCGGCTTCCAAAAAAAAAATTAAAATACTGTACTACATCAAACATTAAAAGCCTCCCTAAACAGGGCCGCCTTCAGATGTCTTCTAAAAGTCTTGTAGTTGTTGTTCTCTTTGACATCTGGTGGGAGGGCATTCTACAGGGAGGGCGCCACTACCGAGAAGGCCCTCTGCCTGGTTCCCTGTAACTTGGCTTCTCGCAGTGAGGGAACCGCCAGAAAGCCCTCAGTGCTGGACCTCAGTGTCCGGTAGAACGATGGGGGTGGAGATGCTCCTTCAGATATACTGGACCGAGGCCGTTTAGGGCTTTAAAGGTCAGCACCAACACTTTGAATTGTGCTCGGAAACATATTGGGAGCCAATGTAGGTCTTTCAAGACTGCCAAAAATCACGTTAGCCTCTTGTGCAGCCACAGCACACAAATAGCTCATTTCAACATGTGATTGACTACAATTGCAATATTATTTCCACGTGTGCCACTGCCAAGTCAGGTATCCCACATCCTGTACCTGGATATTTTTTTATTTAGCCTAGAATTTTGCATTTGTCTCTATTGAATTTCATTTTGTATTTTTTTTCTGTTTTCCATTTATTTATTAAATTTATATACTGCCATTCATTTGAAGATCTCAGGGCGATTCACAGCATAAAAATACAAAAGTACAACACACATCATAAAAACAAGAGCAAAACAAACCAATAACTTCCCTTCTACAAACACATTTAAAGGACCTAGAATGTTAACCAGCCAAAGCCCTGGTTGAAGAGGAATGTTTTCACCTGGTGCCTAAAGATGTTTAATGAAGACACCAGGTGAGATATTTGATAAAAGTCATTTTGAATTGTATTTTTGATGTGTTAGGTATCCTCACCAGTATTGTGTTATCCACATATCTGATAAGCATGTCTTCTAGCTCTTCATCCAAGTCATTGATTCCAACATTAAGGAGTACTGGGTCAAAGGAAAAGCTTGAAACTTATTTCCATTAGCCCTCTCTGAAAATTCCCCAACCTTCTGGGAATCACCTGACAGTGCTATCTAGCCAACATTAAGCTGTTTGCTAATGAAAATATAATGATCAACTTGGTCAAACATTCTGCTGAAATAAAGATATGCAAAAGCATTCCCACAATCCACCAAACTAGTAATATGTTCAAAAAGTACTAAGTTTAGCAACAATATACATTTTTGAAAAATCAATGCTGTCTTCTATTATTAACTGCATTATCAAAGTGCTCACAAATGGACTTCTTGATATATTAATTTTCTTACATTTATATCCTGCATTCTTCCATCCTACAACCCAAGGTGGCATTTCTGTAGTTCCCAAGCAGTATCTCAACCAGGCACTGATCTGACTTTAACTTTATAAAATCAACTCTATAGTCCATAGTTTTCCAAATGTCCCTTTTCCCCATTTTTGAGGATTGAGACATGCCACTTTAGCATATAAGTGATAACAACAACAAACTTTTTCTACAGTTCTGTGGCACCTCACCTGTTCTCCACAATTTCTCAGATGATACAAATAACTTCTGAGACAAGACCTGCCAGTTCCTTTAGTATTTTATAAAGAAATTCATCTGACCCTGAATACCTGAACTTGTTTCAGGTACTTCTTAAACAATTCCTTATCAATCTTGAACTTACACTGCTTATGCAAGGTTGCTTTTGGGAGAAAATGGAAGGACAGCTGAGTATCAGTTCATTTCATAGAATGATCATAATCAAGGACCACTGGTCATAATCAATCATTATAACTTTTCCACCTGAGCTATTTTGTTAAGTAACTTAAAGGAGGAAAAGCTATAATCAGCAAACTGGATTCTTCAACAAACTTATATTTTCAAAGTCTTTCATAAGGCCTGTTTTAAATAATACACTGTTAAGAATCTAATTCTAACAATCATGTCTTGTTTTTGTGTAACTATAAATTGTTATAGCTTTTCCTTCTTTTAGTTACTTAACAAAATAGCCATATAATCAAACAAGTGAGTATGAGAAAGTGAAACACATGCTTCCTTTAATTCCTTCTGGTCATAATCAATCATTATAACTTTTCCACCTGAGCTACAGGGAGCCCAAAGAACTGGGAAATAATATCAAGTTATGAAACACATTCAAATGCAATTCTATACAAACTTACCTATGAGTAAGCCCAAATGAACATAGTGGGACTTACTTCTGAGTTAACATGCATAGCATTATGTGGTCAGTGCTCCATTTGTCCCGATTAGTTTTACACAGGGTGGGAAATAAGAAGTTCTGATTCCTCCTGCCCTAAATGTTAGGGACCACAGAAAACCATGCAGAAAGCAATAGATGGGATACATATACACACAGGCAGCTCATACATAAAACACAAAACTTCATTGGGATCTCCAATCCACTCTTCTTCCTACCTACATCTATTCAAGGCACAGATAACATGGGGAACATTCACAGGATGGTCACTCACACTAGCAATTATAGTTACAGAGGTGCAGCTGTGTTAATTCCTTGCAAGAAAACAATCAGAATCTTATGGCACCTTAAAAGAATAACAAATGTAACATGACATAAGGTTTTTGGGACTCATGCCCACTTTTTCAGATGCATAAAGTGAAAGTTGATAGGTATAAAAAGAATAAAATTGCAAGGTGGGAGTTGAATGGCAATGAGGTGCAATAATTACAATAAAAACATGAACTTAAATATATGTTAAATATGTACGCCTTTTTGCAGTAGCAGATTGGTGCTAATTGCTAAGATTAACTCCTGTAGTACGGCTGAAAACCATTGGCAAGAAAGTCATATCCCGATAATGGTAAGTTAATTCACACGTGCAGTGGGATAAAAATCCTTTCTTTCAAGTTGACCCATAAGTGATGTTACTGAACTTATTGAGGAATTGTATTGAGTTGTTTCTTGTTGCAGAATGGTCACCCTTAAGGTCAGTTACAGCTCTGAGAGGTGGAAATATTCTCTCACTGATTTATGGATATTACCATTTAATTATCAGACTGACCTGTCTGTCCTATGAAGGGCACTGTTGCCAGATGATAGTATAAATCTCACTAGGCGAATAAACCCCTGGTATTGAGGATGCCATTATTAGATCCTGTTCTAGTGTAACCAGAATGACACAGGGGCAGAGTTAGCATCTAGATTTGCCTCCGGGCATGGTCCTTAAACGTATATTTAAGCTCTAGTTTTCAGTGACTGCAATTTTTGCATCTCATTGCTATTCAACTCCCACCTTGAATTTTTCTCCTTTATACCTGCCAACTAAATTTCATGCATCTGGCAAAGTGGGCTTGAGTTCATGAAACCTCCCGTCATAATAAACTTGTTAGTCTTTAATTTGCCACAAGGCTCTTTGATTGTTTTATCATTGTTACAATATTTCTGTACCCAAACCACACCATCTTTCGTTTTGCCAGTTCTCTGCGGTCCCTCCTTGAGGAAAATTCACTCTGCCCTTGCTGGAGAGATGCTCCCTTCATTATTTCCTTCACATGCCCAGTAACAGCTAAGTGTCTGGGTTTTGCATATATACACAGTACACTATTGAACCAAACAATTAAAACAAAAATGGCAAGCGTCACACATTCCAGGGCGGGGTTAGTCTGTTGTAGCAGCAGCAACAGCGAGTCTTGGGCACCCTAAAAAGGACGTATTGTGGCACAGGACACTTTCAGGGGTAAAAAACACTGCTGTGTGTTGAAAAGGCCTAACAAAGCTGTTTGCAGCAATTAAAAAAAGGCAGCCTCAAATTCCGTGAAAAGCCCAATTCGTAAACACCTCACAGCTGTCAACTTTCCCCTTTTCTTGCGAGGAATCCTATTCGGAATAAGGAAATTTCCCTTTAAAAAAGGGAAAAGTTGACAGCTATGAAACACCTCCCTGACATCATTCTATTCTTTTGATCCCGAAGGGAATGGCAAAAAGCCTGAGCAGCTAAGCTGGCCGATTTCTGGGCACTCCCAAGGGCTGCTCCGAGCGCGCAAGTGATAATATCACCGGCCAGGAGGGGGCTGCCGGCGGCGGGAAGGCTCTCGACTGGAAACGGGGCTGAACTGCCCGCTCTGAGAGCCAGAGGCCGCGGAGTCGCTCTCCGCCCATCCTCACCGCCGGCGCTGGCGAGGGGACCCCGAGGGCTTCTCCTGCTGCTCAGTTCCTACCTGCCCGTCATGGCGGCTCCCGGCCCCGCGCTGAGGCGGCGGCAGCGGCTGTCCTGACAAGCGAGGAGAGGACGAGACCCGCCCGCGCTCTGGAGCCACTCGGTCCCCGGCTGAGGCAGCAGCGCCCGGCCCGCTTGGCTCTCGCCTGTCCTCCGCCCTGGGTCAGCCGCGGTGGCGGGCCGCCCCCCAACGCCTCCAGAAGACGGGCGGCCTCCTCTTCCCGCCCCTCGGCTCGGCCCAGCACATACTTTTCCTAGAAAGGGAATGAAATAATAAATAATGAAATAGCAGCGGCCGGCCGGTGGGCGGGCCAGGCGGTGGGAGCGCTTGGGCGGCAGGGCACGAGCCAAGCTTGCGGGAAAGAGAGGGACGTGTAGGGAGCTAAAGGGGCGGCTGTTGGTACTCCGTAGGGCTGAGTAGGGAATGGAAACCCATCGTGTAAGCACCGCAGTTGGGAGCAGCCCCAAAGGGACAGCGGAGACTATGAAGACCCCCCTAAAGCTCTTCGGTTTATCCTTATTATGGTCATTCAGGGGCTGTCACAGAAGTCCATTACATGCTTCTCCCACCCAATATTATGCTAGAATCTCTGCGCTATCCTTTCAACAATAAACCTCTCAGATCTGCAGCCGTTATTCAGTACAAGCTTTGCCCTTATTGAAACTAATCTTCGCGCATTCTTCTTTAACATCCTCAAGTTAGGGAGTGGCAGATATCGACAGTGCAAGGGGACATGGTTGCAATTCAGAGAGGGCTGAAATGCAACTGGTAAAGACGTTTGAAGGTAAGACACCATTTATATGCCAAAAGCTGGAAGCCTCTGAGCCAAGATGAGCAAGCAGGAGTGAGCAGAGCAGCACTGTGGGCATAACAGAAGCCTGATGTAATGGAGAGAACCAGTGGGTCATTATCTCCAAACCCAACCTCTATAGGAATGAGAGGGAAGGGCGCAAAACTATAGAGGTGTCCCAAGTTGATGGGCATTGTCATTCAAATAGTGTGCGTGCACCGAGTCATATGTGGGGCAGGGCTTACCTGGACCCCCAATATTTTATTCAAGTTGCCACCCCTGCCCCGTGACCAAGTTGCTCATAGTGATCTTCACATGGCAAATGAAATCAGGGAGGCATCCCAAAGAGGAGCCGCTGTAGTAATAAATGACTTCAATTAAACTAGCATACCGTTACAGAACTTTTACAATAGGGCAGAGCAAGCATTTCTTTCTTTGCTACCGCTACGTAATTGTTTCCGACTGAATCACAGCCTTATCACAGCGATAGTAAAATTCTAGAACCCGCCCCCGCCAGCTCTCAATTCCGCCCTGGGGAAGGGGAAAACAAGGTTCAGAGACTGGCGTTTCTTCTCCAGATGATGGTCACTCTCTAAGTTTCATATCTCTATAGTTCAGCGTCTCTAAAGGAAAAAGTAGAGCCAAGTCCTTGATGACGCAAACCCTATTCCCTTGGCGACTAGAAAAACCACGGAAGTGCATTACTCCGGCCGACAGTTGACCAATCGGCAACTGCCTTCCCGCCCCAGCGCTTTCCCAAAAGGCCCTTCGCCTTCTCCCCAAGATGGCGGATCTGAACCGGCAATTGCAGGAGTACTTAGCTCAGTCCAAGGCGGGCGGCAGCTCAGCGGCCTTGTCGGCGCCCCAAAACCCGCCGCGAGATGAGGCGGAGAAGCCCGGCTCGGGGTTGGGGACTTGGCTGGGCCGGATCAACCCTTTCCCCGCGACGGAAACGTGGCCGTGGGCAGCCGAGCCGGAGCCGGATCCGTGGCTGCCGACGGGTCTGTCCCGCTGGCAGCGGCTGGTGGGGAGCGCGCTGTGCCTGCTGCTGGCCGCGCTCTGCTTCGGCCTCGCCGCTCTCTACGGGTCGCTCCTGTTGCTCCGCAAGTTCGCGCTGCTCTGGTCGCTGGGCTCCACCTTCGCGCTGGGCGCCGCGGGCTTCTTACGGGGCCCGAGCCGCCTCCTGGGCGAGCCCGACCGCCGCGGCCTGGCCCTCCTTTACTTAGCCTCGGTGGGCGGCACTCTGTACGCGGCGCTTGGGCTCCGCAGCACTCTGCTCACCACGCTGGGGGCCGTCGTCCAGCTGGGAGCCGGCGGAGTCTACTTGCTGTCTTCGGTACCTGGCGGGACTACCGGGCTGCGCTATGTCGGCGGGTTCTTGGGCGGCGCCGTGCGGCGCAGCGTGTCCAAAACTCTGCCCGTGTGAGGACGGTCGTCGAGGCGAAGCCCTTCCTGGACGTGGGAAAACAAGATCGATGTCTGTGGTAAAGAGCCCCTTGCCCGTCTCCAAACCAACGCGCAGCACGGGACGTCGTCTCCAGGCCAGACCCGACTGCCCATGGGGCATTTTGTAGGATAACGTTTCTTTACTGTTTATCTTTTCGAGTCGAGGGCAGAGGAGCACTTGAGTAACTTTACCAGGACGCTGCATCCTTCGCACAAGGCAGTTGAAAAGGATAGTTGAAGTTAATTGCAACAAAGGTGTATGAACTTGGCTGAACAAGCTACTCAAGCAATTGAACCAATTAAGGGCTTTAACAGTGGGTAAAGGTCTTTTTGTGTCTCCCCTTCTCTCTGAAACCACTCAGATGCCCTCTCAGCGGCAGGTGATGAGGTTTTGTTTTTTTTTTGTTTAACAGGCAGACCCAGCCAAGTGTACAAGTATGTGTTGGCAGATTCCCTGAGGGTGCACATTGATGCCAGACCTATCTCTTTGTCTTAGAACCCAACTGCATAAAACATGCTTTTATGAAAGTGTTTTCAATGATGTCACTTCTATTTTGAAGGAGAAGCAACCAATCTGTTCTCATCTCTGCGTTGCGCTGCTTAAAGAGAGAGTACAAGCAGATAGTTCATTTCTTCTGGAATGGTCTGTCACAAGTAGTGGCAAGCATCACTTGCCTGTCTCTTGCTGCTGAGAGTGGCTGAAAGACTATATAATAGTAGCAAGAATGACACTCCCACTTGCTATTATGTTGGGCTCAGTCCCCATCTCTGCACCACCCAGAGGAAGAGCACAAGTGAGTGAGGATGAGATGGCTACTCTGGTGTGTATGTGTTCAAGAAGGTTTACTGACTGGATGGTTCCTCATCCTTTCCAGCCTCTGATGCATGGTAGGGGGAAAGAGAAGTTGCTATTTACTACTGGCCTGATCAGCTTTTTTTCCTTCAGAAAAAGCTGCTCTAAAAGTGTGCTTTCGGTAACAAGTAGTTGAACCTTATACTCTGGTCCAAATCATCAGTTTGTCTCTTCAGCTTTTCAGAGCCAGAGCAGGAAATAAATTTGGAAGCTGTTGTGATTTGCTTCCATTCAGTTCCCTAGTATCATAACATTCCCAATTGCCATGTAACCTCTTGCCTTACTAAAAGTCAGCAGTATCAGTATATACAGTACTTCGTTTATCCATAACATCAAGTTCTTTCTTGGGCTGACTTCCAGCATACTTCCTATTCAAGCAATGACTTCTATGTCTGATCATATTCAAAACGGCATGACCATGAGACTGCTGAAGTCAGTGATTTTAAAGGCAAGTATAATATAGACATGGGGCCTAATTCTGCCATAATGCGTTATGCTCTCATTGTGACTGGGAAATCACAATATATGTGAAAAAGCTGTGCCTGAATATATTATCCTCAACTTCTTTGGATCATGGGGCTATCTGTCATATACGATTCTGTCATAACTTATTCCATGTTTGCATTGAAGATTTTTGTAAGCCTATGGGTTAAATCTGAACTGCACAGGCTCCTTCTTGCTACAGCTTAGAAGTATTGATATGTGGTGTGATGGATGGGTATCACATAGACATATTTAATATATCAATATGACTACCAAAATCACCTGAGTAAAGTTCATTTTGCTCCACAAATGTAATCTGTAAACCACTTAAACCAACAGCAGCTGCAAGCACTACACTTTGGCAGTGTAAGTTGCATATAATGTAATTTTAAAACTAACCATTGAAGCTGCCTCTTAATTGTGGCTCTTAGTGTTATTTGAAGTAAGCCTTGCAAAATGGCTTAGAGTTTGCAGCCAAATGTTAAAGTATTAGTTTTTCAAAGTTTGTAGCTCTCAATAAAACATTTTTGACAACAATAAAAAATGATATGCAAATAACTTCCAGTTCAAAAGTATGTTACTGAGAAAGGCTTCTTGCTGTAGTGGGAATGTTAGAGCACTATCGTCAAACACAAATGCTGCATCGGTGTGGGACATGAAGTGTAAAACTTGAAAGTAATTTAGTAGCTAGTATGTCTGAATAGATACCTTGACTACTTGATGTACAGCCCAATCCTGTGCATGTTTACTAGAAGGAAGTCCTAGTGAGACTTTTTTAAAAAAATAAATGCATAGGATTATGGCTTTAGATTGTGATCTGCTATTAAGATGGCATATTTGTTTACATTTTCAAACTTGTTATTTGTGGGTCCTGCATTGTAATGAAATCAGGCTATGGCAGATGTTGCAGATCTGAATCAAAATGGTGCTAAGTGTTGTTAAATTGTGTGATAAAAATATTCTGAAATCTTTTAATTGGGACTTTAAAAAATAGTGTTAATTAGCATGACACATTGTAGAGCACATTTAACAGTGCAATCCTGTTTACTCAGAAGGAAGCCCTGCTGAGTTAAAAGGGACTTACAACGAGGTACATAGCCTAACAGGTAGGCTAACCCTGCCCTGATATCAGTAGAGCAAAGGGTGCTTTATCTCATACTCGGCTGCTTTTGCTTGCCAGGGTGGAAGGGGGATTTCTTTCTTACATTTTTGCTGTGCCAGCTCCAGGCAGGCATAGCTGAGAAGCCTAAGGATCAAGCGCCTCAGAGGAAGCACAGGATCCAGAGCCCTGGCATCCTGACCCATTTCACGTCTTATTGCTGGCTTTCCACCCATCAAAGGTGGAGCCTGCACTATAGCAGAGCCCCCACCCTGTAAACCAGTAGCACATCTCTTTGCTGCCAGGGAGCATAGTATTCTATCCTCCCACAAGCCACCAACATTGGGAGGGTGCATTAGGACTGGGCTGTAAGTGATTGGTTTTTGTATTAGTGTACATTTTTGTATTCATGTAGATATATAGTTCATTCCCTTGTCATTTGAAAAAAATGGTTAGATTCAGTTTTTGCAAACTTATTTTGAAGTGTTTTGGGTCTCAATAGAAGTGTTTACAGAACTAGCTGATAGCACTTTTAGAAGTGAAACTGATTTGAATGACTCATTAAAAAAACCTCAGATCTAAATAGGGGCTGAAAACAATATTTTACTGGTGGTTGGTTTGTTTTTTTTTAGATTGTTGGTTATAACTGTCCTTAAGATTGCTATGTATATTTCCCATTTAACTGTGGTTGAGGTGGAAGGAGCAGGCATTCCCAGAGCTAGTGGAACCAGTATTGTCTCTGCACTGACCACATCTAAAAGCTTTTCAGATATTTTAATATTGTCAGATCATCTCTTGAGAAATGTACCAGCCTAACACAGAGACTGCAAAGCTTCTCTGTAGAAATATGTCTACAAAGACTTAACAAAACTTAAAAGCACAAAATAAACTTCACCAGAATGCTGTTTTCTAGTTCTTTTCTTCTGCAGTTGGGTAGGCTTCACTATTGGAATAAACTGTCTACCAAAGAGAAATGGAGAAACATGTACAGTATGTGCTTTACGTTCACTTGCTTTGCAGATATGTGCAGTGTGTCATTTTTGTTAATAAAATTGAATAATTAAAGCCTAGGCCAAGGCGTTTTGATTCCTTGTGACAGAAGTCTTAAGGCTCAGTGATTTTTTTGTGTTCCATGGTTGGTATGCAGTATAACCCTTAGTAGTTTTAAACTTGTCCAGACCCAAGACCCACTTCCAAGTCCAAACCTGCAACACGGGACCCACTTTCACTTTTGATTTATACTTAATAATGCTAATGTACATTAATAATCCTAAAATAATAATTTAGAGCAATATATATAGTTTACTTATTTAGTAATAATAATAATAATAATAAATACTAATGACTTTTAGCAAAAAGACAGAAAAGCTTTTGAAAAGCAATGTTGTTTTTAAAGACACTTTCAGTGGAACACCTGAGCATGTTTGTTCTTCCAGATTTCATTCCAGTAAGGGGTGATATTTGAAAAGCAACTCATTTCCTTCAGCTAAACTGTTTCTTGTTTTGTTTTTAAGGGTCACCATTGTTGAGAAATGGATAATAGCTTCACTTGCCAATTCTGGGTATTCTTTACTAGCCAAAATTCAAAACTTTGGTAATATTAGCTGTTGAAATTGCACTTTCAAGATTGTGTCAGACAATCGCTCAAGGAATTGTTTCTGCAACTCATACCTTAATTCCAGTGACTGTGTCCCCAGTGAATGGCAAATATAGACACTGCATACTTTCACACAAATTTTGGGGGAAATTGGCACTGATTGTTCAAATAAAGTCGTTTTGTGAAATTTTGCTTCTGTTTGATATCCCTCAAGATCAGTATAACACTAGTAAGTTGTCAAGATTCTGACAACTGGATGCTTTTGTATCCAGAGACAAGATGTGTGGGGAATGATAGAGGGAATATGTGAAAATATGTATATAAAAAAATCACAAACTCCATTTGTTAATTTTTGGACAAATTGCATTCTGTATTCATACAAAAACAACTCAACTTTTTCCTGACAACTGTACATATAGAAACAAGTTCTTCTGGACATGAACTGAAATCTGTGGAGGTGCTCCATGTCTCACAACACTAAAAAAACATCCAGCTTTTATCTTCAAAAATCAATGCAAGAAATATGGAAGTGATGAGGGACTGGGATGGCAAGGAGAATGAAACAAAGGTAGTTGTGATGGCATTACTAGCTGGCATTTAATCTTTGAATAGACCTTCTTAGGAACTAATGCACATTCATTTATCTCCATTTATAGAGTCCAGGTTTGTGGGACTGCAGAATTACTTTCTCAATGATTCTGCAATAGGTGTATTTAAATACTGTCCTAGAAAGACTGGGACTTGCCCAGTCATAACCTCTTCTATCGACCCCTTCCGCCACCTCGAGAACCTCCTCGCCTTGACTGGTTTGAGTTCATGTTACTTCCTCTTCCCCAATTACTCCCACTCCTCCCTCGGGAAGGGTTATTGCCTCCTGGAGGTCCTCCAAAGGGTTCTTCTCTATGATATCCATCATGGTGTTCTCCATCCAAAGAGCTGGATCTCCCAGATTTTGACATTCTCTGTGAAGGTCCTGACTTCCCACGCCCTGGAATAAAAATATTGCAAACTAAAATAAGAAAATGCTCTAGTTTGTTTGCTTTCCAGTCATGCAATACAGAAGATCCAAGTATGGTGTCTCAGTTTCCTGCCTCCTGTTCCACTGCAGAAACAGTGCAGAGTTAAAGATAATTGGTAGGGAAAATTAGCACTGCATATAGGAATTTTGATATCAACATTTTCCAAATTGATATTTCCATTAATATTTGAAATTAAAATTTCTAGAGACAATTCTCTAATCTCAAAGAATTATGTTTTACCCTTTCCCCTCTCTTCTGGAGGCCCTCCTTGAATTTCCATTTCTCTATGGTCAGAGGTTCCTGGTCCATCATGCCAAGGACGCTTGCGAGGTGGCAGTGATGCCATGTCCATTCCCTGGATTGAGGAAGAACGTTCTCGACTTGCTGGAGAATGGCCATCATGAGGTGGATGATCCTGGCGGGGACCTAACCATGATGGGGGGGAAATCAAGAGAGACAAATGTTGGTACAGTGCAGCAACGAATCTCTTCTTGGAACCCCTTTCTAGCAATATCTTTTGTAAATATTACAACGAAATAAAAGTTTTCTAGCATCCAATTTACCTCAGGAAGATGGCTCATTGTCTTTTCTTAGTTAAGCACACAAATAATTCCTGTTCCACTATCTCTGATGGTGAAGGTTCTACCCCCTTTCCACCCCAGGCGAGCTGCTGTAGAGATTGTACTTTCTGCTTTCGTTAGACAGAGAAGGGATAGAGATTGATAGGGAAACAGGCAATGGACATATTTCTTGTGAGAAAGGAACAAGAACAGCGCTTGCAGAAAAATCACCAAGCTCTTGGTGCTACTGAAGGAGACTGGGGGAGTAGATTATGGTAAAAATGTGGCTTTCTATGGTTCATGAGTACCTCTTTCCACCCCTCCCTTATCAAAAACTTCAAGCAGCAGAGCTCATTCTTCCTCTACAGGAACCCGCTCTGCATTTGCATGCTGGGCACTGAGAAGGGAAACCTCTTTTGCAGCGCCCAACAAGGATGGGAAAGCAACTCTGTCTCATTACCGATTATCTGAACTGTACATTATATTAAGGAAAAATGTGTCTCTCTGAAATAATCTGCCTTCTCTGTAAAAATGGGATAGTTTCTGCAATCTGTTGCTGATTAACTTCTTATGTATGAGGTTTGGTTGAAATTTGTGTGCCAGATTCGGCCAGAGTGCTAAATATTTCCCACCCCTTACCCCAACAGGGAACTGAAGGGGGTTGCTGGAGAAACTTTTTGGGGAAATCTAAAACAGATTGAGGACCATCGGATCATGATAGGAAAATCCAGGCCAGTTTTAATCTGTAGTTCCATGTATCTGTATCTAGGAATTAAAAACAGTAAGAAAGATCATATGGTATCCTATTCAGCTTTCCCCCCGTTTTGTAATACAGTATTCAGATAAATACTAATATAAAATCTGGTGAAGTGCTTCTAGATGCTATTAGGCTATTTATGAAGTACAGTAACAACTATATTAAGCTGCAACTGGAAAATAGAAGGGACAGCAACATTTGATGGTGGTCAGTCTTGCATAAAGTAATATATTTTCACCTGGTTCTCGATTTCCATCCATACGGCCTCCTTCAAAGTGAGGAAATTCATCTGGCGTTGGAAGCAGACCTTTCCGTCCCCCTGTATAATGAATGGACAAAATATGCAAAGAAGTTGAAAGAACAGTTACACAAATTCTGACTGCACCAATACATTCCTCAGCTGAGTATAAATTATCCATCAAAGCTCTCTTACCTCTAGCAGCACCCCGACCTCGCCCCCGGCCACCATGATCTCTTCCTCTTGCGTTATCCTCTGAGGAGTCAAACTTTTCTTCTGGCACAAAGTCGTCAGGCCCAGAAAAGCTGTCCCTTCCCCTGGATCCCCGGCCCTCATGTCTTGAGGGTGTTCCTCTCCTATAGCTGAACCAAAGAAATACAAATTAGCATAAGAATATACTTGAAGCTATATAGCTCCATGCTGAAAAATTCCATTGTCTATTCAAAAATTCCAACTGCTTAAAAAAATGCCCAATTTCTCCGCATTGCTGGAATGAGATTGTATTATTTAAAAACATTATTTACTTTGTACCTTTGCCAGGAATCAGAAACTAAAGTTTTCAACCAGTTGAATATTATTTAGTTAACTGTCTGGTTTCCAATTGTTTAATCAGTCAAATTTAAATACATGTTATGTTGTATGAAAGTCATTATCAATAAAAGCGGCTTTTCAATAATTCTAATTAAATGTTCCACTGATTATACCCAAGCCTCTTGCTACTCACTCCTAAAGAGTACTCATTAATAGTTCCTCATCATCCTGGAAAAAGTGACAAGTGGGGTGCTGCAAGGTTCTGTCCTGGGCTCGTTGTTGTTCAGCGTCTTTATAAACAACTTAGATGAAGAAATTGAGGGGATACTCATCAAATTTGCAGATGGCACCAAACTGGGAGAGGTAGCTAATGCCACAGAAGACAGAATCACAATTCAAAATGACCTTAACAGATTGGGGAACTGGGCACAAGGTAACAAAATGAATTTCAATAGGGGCAAATGTAATGTTCTGCACTTGGGCAGGAAGAACCAGATGCACAAATATAGGATGTGGGACACCTGACTTACTAGCAGTACAAGTGAAAAGGATCTAGGGGTCTTGGTGGACCACAAGCATAACATGAGTCAACAGTGTGATGCAGCAGCAAAAAAAGCTACTACTATTATAGGCTGCATCAACAGAAGTATAGTGTCCAGATAAAGGGAAGTAATATTACCACTCTATTCTGCCTTGGTCAGACCACACCTGAAATACTGATATTGACAAGCTGCAATGTGTGCAAAGGAGGACAATTAGGATGATCAGGGGTCTGGAAACCAAGTCTTATGAGGGCACTTGGTATGTTTAGCTTGGAAAAGGGAAGACTGAGATGAGAGGTGATAGCCATCTTCAAATATTTGAAGAGCTGCCACATGGAAGATGGAGCAAGCTGGGTTTTTTGTGCAGAGGTTGGATGGCCATCTGTAATGGATGTTTTTGTTGAGATTCCTACAATAAAGGGGGGTTTGACTAAATGACCCCCGAAATCCCTTCCAACTCTACAATTGGATTCTATGAGTCCACTTGGCTGTGACCTAGTGCCCACTTTAGGAAAACTGAACTTTGTAGAATGTCATTTTCATAATTTTATTTTATTAATAAATGATTTGATGTGTTCCTACAAACAGGAATTTCTATTTTCATAAAATGTACAAATTCACTTAAATGAGGCTCATTTCTTTTAATATGAAACCAGGAGATAACTGTTCATCATCAAATAATAAAAACTGTATGATTTTTACCTTTCATCTCTTCTTCCTCGGTACCGTGCATCCTCAGGCTCATGAGGAAATCTCTCGTCTGAAGGTCTCCGTCCCTCCCAAGGCCCAGGAGGTCCACGGTTTGGACCTCTGCTATCTCCCTCAT